CTTTCTGGTGGAAAGGTGTAGTTCTAGAAATTGGTTTTTGCTTTTTACAAAGCAAATTTGCCAAGATTCTTATATTTGTTTTGACTGAATTTTTTGAAACTCAATCTAATTAAGGATCTGAGCATTATAGGTCACTAACTTCTGGAGGTCACAAAGCATTTAATTAATATTTTAGAAATCCTAGGATAATCATTGACTTTTCAAAACTATTTCCCATAAATAAATTGCTCTAATCCATAAAGTACATTTACCTATATCTGATTCATGAATTTCTTGGTTTTTTCCAGCCTGCTCCAATCACTAATGCAGAAAATTGTCAACAGCTTTAACGACATTTGCAAAGCAAGAGATATACAGGAATTATAAAGTATACTTTAACATAGAAGTTGATTGCCAATATTATGAAGAATGAATGGTATCTTTCTTTCTTTTGACTTAAGGAGAAATATTATATTGCATTTTTGTAATCAAAAGAGGACACGTAAATACAACAAACACTACGGTGAAGTGGAGGCATCTTTGGGTTCCACTTATATTTTCATAGATCACTTCAAATATCTGCTCAAAGTCTGCTCTTTTTTGGCAAAGTTCCTATGGGAATCTGCTTCTGGATTTTGCTGGTGGCCAAAGGTGGGGAGAATACAGCTGAGTTCATATTTGCTTAAGTACACAATATGGGTGGGCTGCGTGTGACATAAAACCCTCAACCAGGTAGGTCACTTGCACAATTCAGTAGAAACAAAATGCTTGTCGGCACTAGATATTTACAACAGGTCAGTGCAGCTGTTTTGCACATCCAACTTATTAGTGCCACACCGCACTGGACATAAGCATCTGCTTAATGTCAGTCATGATGACAATACGGGAGAGATGAAATACCTTTTCTCCCTTTACTTTCTTTTCCTGTTATTAAGACTAGAGCATTTAGGGAGAAGTTATTCGAAGTGTATATATGGTTGGACTGTCTCCTAGCTTATAGCATAAAAGGAGAGTTTTAGACAGAAGTCTAAGGTTATATATCACAAGTTGCCCAGTTCAAAACATTGCTGCCCCATGGTATGGAATTTTAAAATAGTTTTGTCCTTGCTGTGACATGCTCAACCTCACCTTGATTTGTATGAATATATAAATTCAACTTTCCAAGAATCATTGTAGATAGAAGCCCAGTATGGATATCAAGTGTAATGGATCCTGGGAAAATTTGTCAAGATCCCTCACTATATATTTCTATTTTAAAAAATTTACTCCGTGCCCTCCCCCCAAAAATAATTACAGAGCCTTTTTGATTCTGCCTATGTCTTTGTTGCTTGTTCCTTTTTAAAGCTAGACTCTTCTTATTGTTCATCTTCTCATTTGTTATTATTGTTAATGTTATTCTTTTCATGCTGTTTCTTTTATAGTACGGCATCTGCTTTTTTGGCAGAATTCTTCCCCAGGAAAGGAGATAGCTATATATAAATGCATAGATGGCAAGGCCTGCTTAATAGTTACCATTTCAGGATACAATGCTCAAAAGGGGGGGGACTTAATAGTTTGAGAAGTGACCCATACTGAATAAGTGTCCTCACACATCAAAAACAAGTAGGCAGCAATGCAAGAGAAATACCAAAATTGACTCCAATGATGTCAATGTCCTTTTCCAAAATGTGTCAAGAGTCTTATGGTGTTTGACAGAAGTATTCCCTTTCTTCGAGGTTGTTGGAGTTATTGGATTATCTGGCCTGCTAGGCTGAGTCATCAGCTGCAGTAGGCCAAGGTATAAGGAAGTCGGAAGTAAAAAAGGTTGGGAGAATACCAAGAAGTACCGTGCGGTGCAAAGGAAGGTGTTTGGTGCTTTGTTGGTGCCGGGTGTAACAGCTGTATAGGGGCGTGAGCAAAACAAAGCTGTAGCACGTGTAATATGCTAATATGCTGTGTTATAACAAATGTGGTTGGTGTAAGGTGGTCACCAGGTGCATATAAACCTGCCTTCTGGTAACACAATAAAAGGGATGCTTCGGCTTTGTTCGAGGCTCCCATCCCGAGGAAACCACGTGTTCGTGTCTGTTCTTCTACACTCATGGGAGACCTGCTGGGCGTGTGAAAACCCACAAAGGTAATCAATCCAACATTTCCTCTGACCTAACGTCTTATTCCTATAGTGGCCAACCAGATGCCTGTCAGAAACTTGGAGCACACGAGGAGGGAAACGTCATCCGGTGCTTGTGTTTTCTGAAAGCTGGCATTAACAGGCAATATGGGACTGCTGACAGCAGTGGTGTCTGCAACAAACCACACTGATGCCAAAATATCATGCATATGATGACATCAACCCACAAATGTCACAATTTCTTACAAGATTCTTATTCAACTGTGTAAGTTGCTGCATTTGTTTGGTTACACTATATTCCATATTGTCTTTTCTAACCCAACTCAAATGGAAACTGGCTATAATATGATGCTGTCATGGCCAGGAATAACTGATAGTTGTGCTCCCCCCCATAATTATTCTAAACCCCATTAAAGTTATCCGAGTCATTATATCTTGTGGAAGCAAATTCTATAGTTTAATAGCAAATGCCTGAAGAAAGTTTTCCTTTAATATGTTCCAACTCCTCCATCAGTTATGGAATGCACTCAGGTTCCAGCATTAAGGCAGGAGAAAAAATTCATAGCACCATGTGTTGGTTGATCACAATTTAGGAAATTTTTAAAATGGGGCTTCCTGAATAGTGAGGGATTTTTGAAGGGAAAATTCCCAATGTGTTTCCTTTAATGGTGGAGCAAAGCAGCCATAAAATAAATGTTGGAAGAAATGGACTTTTGTTCATGTACAGAATCCCATTTCTGAGTTAAGTTAATGACAGAAATATTTGATGAACCAATTTGTCCTCTGTTCTCATTTACTGTATGTGAAATGAGTCAACTTTGTAACGTGGAGTATCTGACAAGTTATCTTGCAATGTCCTATGCATTTTACATATCTCTTCTATCCTGACTCTTATCTTAATTAATACACTTTCCTCTGGTTTTCTCTAGAATATTCTCTTTAACAATTTAACAACTATAATTATATATAGTGAGGACTTGTTTAGTGTGGTAGTTAAAAGCTAGAAAGCAGGAGACCATAGGTGACTTGGGCTGATCATTCCCTAGGGCAGGGGCTGGCTCAGGAATTCTGGGAGTTGAAGCTCACGAGTCATAAAAGAGCCAAGGTTGCCTACCCCTGCCCCAGGAAGAAAGCAACAGCAAATAATTCAAAATATTGTCAACCAAAAAAACAGTTGGGACTTGTTGATATAGTTACAGAGAAGAAAGACTGACTTGAGGGCAGAAAAAGAAGGTTATAGACATATACTACATTTTCATGTCAGTCACAAAGACAATTGTGTATGCCATTAACAATCAGATTGTTAAAGCCCCTGCATTCAAGGCATAGCTGTGATACAAGGAGTGGGTCTTATCATCCAAGACATCATTTGTCAGTTTGTCAGACCAATGATCTTCCGAAGATGTGATTAGCATATCTTGGCTTTATATTGGCTTTATCTCCTTTAAAAAGAACTTGTGCTCCCAGTTTTCAGTGGTATGAACTCTGTGGGCTGTCATGATCCCTAAAAATAGCATCATATGTCTTATAGCCCCAGGTCGCCCATCCCTGATGTAAGATTATTTATTACAGTTATATTGTCTCATTCAAAATTTGGTTTCATCTAAATATCTGGCTGAGATTTCCTGCAATCATTGCAAGAATTGGCAGTTAATAGAATTGTCTCCCCGCGATTAAATCCCCAGGTTCAGCTGTAGTGTTATAAAGCATAACACTACTGAAATTAAATTTGCTATAATGTACCTTGCTTTGGCTTCAGCTGATGTTTAATAAATTCAATTATTACTTATATGGACTGTTATTCTGTTCTGTTCTGTTCCATTCCATTCTGTTCCATTCCATTCTGAAAGGGGTTTAACTGTTTCTTCTAAAAGTTACTTTAATTCTAAATAATTTCACATTTAGCATATCCCTTTATCTTTACAAATTTTCACCCAATTTATTTAGAGTGGTGGTGGTGAGATTATTTTCATTTTCAGGCTTATATTGCAGGTGCAAATCTTGTTAAAATAAGATGGCACAGCTCTGGAATTGATTTGTTACTATCTCTTTATAATTTTTATGAAAATATTTGTATGGTATATTTTGAGATAAAACTACTGTTTAGCCATAATTCTTACCCGTATAATATTGCCCAATGTCAGTCATATAAAAGGCCTAAAAGTACAGATTCTACCTGTAAGTTTAGAGCATTTAAGGAAATAGCAAAGCAGAAAAAGTGAGAGAATATTGGTGTATTCCTTATAGTAGTTCAAAGTTTTGTGTTATGAATTATATGTAAAGATAAAGGCAAAAGTAAAGGTTTCCCCTCAGTGGTGGGATTCAAATATGTGAACAGCCAGTTCTCTGTGTGGATGCCGCTTCCAGAAGTCCGTTGTGGGCCTGGGCAACAGAAAATTAGCTACCGGTTCTGCCGAACTGGTGAGAACCGGCTGAATCCCACCACTTTTTCCCCTGTCCAGTCATGTCCAGAGATGCCAAGGGAACCAGCATTGTCTGAAGAGACTTCCAGGGTCATGTGGCCAGCATGAGTACACGCAAAGGCACACAGAATGCTGTATTGTATGTACCTTTCTTCATTAAACAAATGGACCTACTGAATATGTAAGTATGGAAATGGGAACCATTTTAGAAACCAACAGTGCAGGCATGTCTACTTACAATAAGGGGTAAATGTGTTTACAATTAGACTAATTCCATCAATTCCATTCAAACTGACTTTGGAACAAGCCCACACTGGATTCTACAGGAAGTAAAACAACCACATGAGAGTACTAAATATTTTTGAAGTGCAAAATAATATTTCCCCCAGCTGTCGATGAAAGAACATCAACCAAATGCACAAAATCCATTGTAAACATGTATCTATTTATTATGCATTTAAATGTGCACAGCACATACACCACAATATTAAACAACACCTGTATAAAACTACAGACAGATTTGGTAAATGATGAAATCTCATAACATTGATATAAAAATTTTACAATGTTATCTGAACATTACAATATAAATCACCTCTGACCACATTAAGGATGAGTTCGTCATTTGGCAACTGAAAGGAAAACAAGTGTGATTAAAAATGCACCTGTGAGCTGTATCAATTATTACGGAAACCTAGAAATATTTGGGGTATTCAGATGTATGCATTGTGCATATAAGTATCCACACATTAAAAAAGGGAGAGAAAGAATGAGAGAGAATAAAAGAAAAGATACAGAGATATCCCACACTGCACAGAAATGTTCTAGCATTCCTCTGTCTTGAGTTCATTTATTTAAGACTGGATTGGATGCACTTATTTTACTTATGTTTGCATGAACAACAGCTGATCAGGTCCTGCTGTTCTCTCATCACATCTTATGATGGATGATTGTGCTTATCCCTTGGAATTGGTTCATTTTTCTCCTAAGCTTTCTTTGAATACTCAAAAACTCAAAAGAAGAAGAAATGGAATGGGGAAAGTTCTTTTCTTACCCAGTCTCTCCACTTTTCAAGTAAAATATTACATAATGGACTTAATGATGAACTTAATAAAGACCAGGAAAAGCCAGTTGTACACATCATATTTAATTCAAAATAATGTTTTTGAACATGGTCATGAGATTCATTTCTGTCTCTTCTGTCTCTGCTGTGGGTTGCTCATACTCAAAAAGAGCAAGGCCTTTGCCTGAAAGATAATAAGACACTGGGAGAAAGTACTGTAGAAATATGCAAACCATCTTGAGTTCAAACTATTCTGAAATTAAAACAACCAGGATCAAACTTGAACCACACTGTTCCAACTTCATCAGAAGTATTCAGGCCTTAAACTGACCCTTTTTTCAAGTTTCAAGTAGCCATTTTGGGAACGCTTCTAGTGAAGAGTCCATTTCAGGTTCCACACTTTTCTATTGAACTCAATATTGAGTGTTTCCAGCATACTTCTATTGGCTAGCAGCAGAAATGGACGATTCCCATTTGTATCCAGATCCAAATTCATAGACGTTTGTAATGATGAAACTTCCCAAAAAGGGGAATTCATATTCCTAAATTCTGGCCTCACTCTCATTAGCACTGCTGATTAACTTTATTCTCCCAGGTCTTCCATTAATACAGTACATAAATATATGCAAGTCATTCATAAAGTAATGTGTATATAACAGTAGCATTTTTTTTCAAATACAGGAATGTTAAAAAAAGAAAGAAAGCTGAATTCATTTTTGCCATGCCTTGGAATTTTGATGATGACTTAATTTACCGAGTAGGTAAACATTCCTTAAGATTATAGTCCTTCAGTACCGAATTTCCTAGAGAAGGTCACAATTTACTATGGCTTCTATCACTACTGTAGAAAAAGGATACATTTACATGAAAAGTTACCTTAGGGTAATAATTCCTGAAGTGAATTACATATAAACTTAAAAATTGAACAGAAGACTGAGACTGAGAAATATCAAAGGATAGAAAAATAGCAATCTCCAGTAAGATGAAGCGGGCTTTGCTTCCCTTTCCTTTCTATTACAAGCAAAGTACACCAAGTAATTACCAGAGTTATTACTTCTGGTTGAAGAAATGCTGCATATTGATTCAAAGCAGCATATAAATGATCTAAGATATGCAGGCTGTAAAGCTAAAACATCTTGAAATATACTAGCTATGAGTTATTTTCTCGGGATAATTGAAGAGTTGGATAGATCTTAAAATTTGCTTGGTTAACTCACTAGTTAACCATAGCATATCAAATTTGGCATTGTACTTGATAATGAATGTAGAATCATGGTCACTTAGAATTTGCCCTATGAAATAAAGATCTACAATGGCAATTCTTGTGCATTCAAGTAATCTCTGCATTTAGCATGATAAATATAAGCCAATGTTTCATTTTAACACCCAATCTAGGCATTTCTAGAGGCACTTCTACTTGCAACTTGGCTGCAGAAAGGACTCAAAGGACACATGCTCAACCATTTGTGGTCATTAAGGCCACTGACTCCAAGCTCAAAGCCAATTCATCCTAATTTTGCTTTGGAGCAGAAATACAAAACTCCAAAAACTAGGAGAATATATGACCCCTAGAAGCTTGCAGTTTGGCCCATAAATACTTCTAAAATGGTTATGAAATTGTAGTGATTAATGTGGTAAATTGTTAAACTGGAAAAATTCATATTCATTGCATTTCATTATGATAATCTGAATTAAGTAAAATTTAGCTCTCTTGTCTCTTCCCTTCTACTATTGAAAAATGATCTTCAGCGCACCATTTAAAGGACAACTAACATCCAGTTGTTAATAATTTAAACAAACCTGAGTTAGGAGATGATCCAAAGAAAATGGTTGTCTGAATTGGAACTTGGCAGCCCACAGACTCCCAGAAGCCTCTTTTACTACAACTGTTGCAACTTGGTGATATAATTTCCCATCATTTTAAGGAAGGAAACATATGGAAGGAAACATATGGAAGCTATATTATAAGCTTTGAATTAGAGTTAGCATTATTTACTAAATGAATACACCTGTCCCTCCAAAAGTCTACTCTAACACTTAGGGAATGTTATCTAGGCCCATATGCATGACAAAGCCTCTCCTACTTTGCATCATGACCCTGACTATTGCCGTCTTCACTTCTCAAAAGGACTTTCCAAATGTTGTCGAGATATAGTCTTTCTCAGCCCTATCTCGGCTATTGAACTTTGGTCAAGAGTCTGTCAAATTCAGAGTTCACAGAGAACTCTGGATGGTTTAAGAGCAGATGCTTCTACACTGTTCTTCTTAACTGCACCAAAGAGAAGCAAAGTCTGAACCTTGGGCATACTCATGCATGTTGCACTAAACCATGGTTTAATATGACATCCCCAAAGCCTTGTTTTCTCTCTGCTAATACGTATTCAAAATGACCCTTCATATATCTCTCTCCAGTCATAGGTCTAACTATCTCTTTTATGATGGGGGCAATATAGCCACATCACAAGTCTCGAGAGTCAAAGCAAAGATCAGAGGCCATACTCATAATGAATTATATTTTTACCTGAGTGGGGAACTTGACCAGACTTCCTCATAACAGAAATAAAAACTTAAAGGCTGATTCCACCATTCAGTAATTGCAGTCTCCCCAAATGGCTCCCAAGCAGTCATACACACACATCCAATTTGTAAAGGGGTGGTAAAATGTGGGAACATATTTTAGTAGAACATTAAAAGTGGGATCAAAGTAAGTTTAGTGACTGAGCATCTGTTTTTTTTAAGTAGAATGTTCTAGCTTCATGTCTGCTCTGCTTAATAGGATTCTATCTAGCTCATGACAAGAAAGATCTCAGTTCCAGGAGATCCACTGCTAGCCAAGGTAGCCAATAGGCTGGATAGAACAAGAGTTGATCTTGATATAAGTCAGCTTCCTATTCTTCTGTTGTGCCAAAGAACGAAACACACTGTAATCAGGTGCCTGATCTGGGAGTGCTCTAAATAAGTTTGGTAGGTGAGGTGGGGGGAAAAGATATACTGAAAGAAATCCCATTGAAATAAATAGAAATAGGTGAAGGATTGTTGTCTAAAGTAGCCCTTCTCAGATAAAATCATTGAGTTCATTTCTAAATCTTCATGGCAGGTACTCTACCTGCATAGCAGCAAAATATTGTTTTGGTGGCTCTAATCTCCAGATAGCTGAGTACTTATCCTAATAATTCCAGTGCCTCATTTCGTGGTAAGCCCTTACCAATGCCAATATTCATCTCCCATTATGATTTTGAGACTTGTCTTCTACAACGTGACAAAGCTCCCTAGGCAATGTTTCCAAGATATCTGTTAGATGAAGCCTATGATTAGCTTCCAAAGCCCTACTTCCATTAAAAGAAACCATTAAACATTGCCTAAGAGTTACCCTCCTTTTTTGCTCATCCTTCCCATCCCCCCATCATCCTTCTTAAACCTGCTGGTTCATTCTTTGCTTTAAAGACATGGTTTACATTCACAAAATATATAAAGAAAAATATAAGGTTACTGGATGAGCATAGAGTGCTGCAGCCTGACAGCTGTCTGCAAATATTTTCACCATGATTATCCTTACTAAAAGTAAATCACTGGGTAAAGATAGCACAAACGTGACAAGGCTCAAATTGGATGTAACCAACACTATCTGGAATTCTTTTGACTACATATGGAAAAAGGGGGGGGTATTGGGATGCCCGCCCCATACACTGGAATTATAAGCAGGGTAAGGAGAAAAAATGAACGCCCTTTCCCTGCTGGTCTTGTAAAAAAAAAAAACTGGCTTCCAGAATAATTGAGTGAGGTAGATATTAAAACATCATTATTTCAGGGAATGAAATGAGAACACTACAACCTATAAACCATTTACAGTACAAATGTTTAATTAAAGTCATTATTATTACTTTGGAGTGAACTGCTATTGGGACAGGCTATAAAAATCATGTCCCAGCAAGAACCTTTATGGCAGAGGCATTGATAGCGGGGCAGGACTTCTACCATAGAAAAGCACCTATTTTGCAGCCCAAGACTTCATGGTTGAAACCACTGAATTACGATGATCAGATTGCCCACTTTTTTTTAAAGCAAAACAAAAATAAATCAGATCTATTAAACCCCTAATAGGTTTAACATACTTTTTCATATCTAAAAATCAACCTCCATTTTTAAAAGGCTAACTAGTAGCTTTACCTATGTTTATCTGCCTCCAACCCCAGCCGCAAAAAGATTGACTTCAACTAGTGATTGGATCCTGTACTGCAGAATTGCATCATCAGCTGGTTTTTGATATAGTGTAACATTTATGGAAACAATTGTTAAAGGACTGGTTGACCAATTTTAAAGGAAGGTGAACAAAATTAAAATAGGTCGTCCATGGTTTGTTCATGGCGATGTGTGAAGCAGGAACTTTGACTTGTTCCTATCTGAGAAGGACTCAGAGAAGGTGAGAGTTCCTGATTCAACGTGCACAGTAAAAAGAAAAAGAAAAAAAACATAGATGAAACCATCTAGTTTGTTAGCCAACTCATTGAAAGGAAGAGCCAAATATGCTCATTTGAGTAGCACTTCTGAAAAACAGTGGCTTACAACTATGTGGAAATCTGGCCCGAAAGGGAGAGATTTTTTCAAATATTACTAAAATCGTGCATTTGGTAGTTCTTGACTTGGGACCATTTGTTTGGCAACCTTTCCAAGTTCTAACGGCAACTGTAACTTACAACTGGGTTTCTGCCTTTATGAATATTGCAGCATCCCAACAGTCACGTGATCGTAATTCAGGTTCTTGACAACCAGCATGTAGTTACAGCAGATGCAGCATCCTGGGGTCATGTGATTGCCATATGTGACCTTCCCAGCTGCCTTTCATCAAGCAAAGTCAAACTGGATTTTCTTAATGTGTGATTTACTTAATGACTCTGGCAAAAAAAAAGGTTGTCAGATCGGATGCAGTCGTACAATGGCTCACTTAATGGTCGCATTGCTTAGCAACAGAAGTTCCAGTGCCAACTGTGGTTGTCAGTCAAGAACTACCTGTAATATCATTCCATTTAAAATATGGTTTTGTGGTCTTTAACACAAAAGCTATTCACTATAACCTATTCCCAAGTGTGACTGGCTGAAAGAAGAAAATGACCACGCTCTACCTAAGCTAAACAATGAGTAAAAATGTCCAAATGTTGCCTTGTACTAACATGGTAATCCTCAATCTCACAATGCTGAAAATTTAAGTCTAGAAGTTTAAAAGGATCTATCTAAGCACAATTCACTATGAACTCCTGCCGTGCAAGCTCCAGAGATTTTCAGTGGGTTTACTCCTACTTTGTCAGGTGGATTCTGCTCTACAGGCCCCAGAGGGATTGACTGCAGGGAAGTTCAGAGTTCAAATGTAGCAGAGCTAAAATGAACATTGAAGGGCATACACCAATGCTGCAGTTTCTGTAGCAGAAGTAAATTGATACCATTTCTATGAACTAAGGATGCTACACAAAAAGGAGATCAGAGATGCTGTACATTCCTATAAGCTGGCATCAGAACCGAGGAATATTTGTCTAGCCTTTTTTGTATGACTAAAACTTTCACTGGCAGTCATAACTGGTTAAAAACAATGTGTTTCTTTAAAAAAAAACAATTTAATGTCCACTAACAAACGTTGTACAATGCACAGAACAGTGCAAAACATATAGGAATCAGATTTCACATTTAAAAAGTGATAATAGCAGCACACCTGTGATAACTTACCCCAAAACAAAGATAAGATTAAATAAACCACAATGCAAGAGCCTTCTGCTGTTACACTGTGTAATGAATAGCTTAGGTTGGAGGTTTGGTTTTGTAGAAGGTTGTTCTTTCTTTCATTTCTTTTCTTTTAGGAATTTTTTAAAAAATCATCAGAACTATAAATAATTTTCCAGCAATATATACAGACATCAATAATTTAAATATGTTACATCTACTCTTGCATAAAACTCTCAAAGAAAAGTGCACCATAGATTTCACTCCCTCCCTCTTCCATTCTCCCAGCTGGGCCTTGCCTTTTCCATCTGCCCTGAGGTAGCTCTGAAGGGATAATTCTCAAATCCTGGGAAGAAAATGTGTCACTGTCATGGTGGGAGACACTTTGTTGCCTTTCTTGGTTCTTCCATTTTTGCTCAGGGCCATATACATCCCAGGATAGGTCTGGGATTCATAGGCGTTGTAGTTGTTTGGCAGCAGAATCTCTTTGAATTTACACTCATCACCAAAATGGCTCTGAAATGAGAGTGGAAGAGGAAGGGAAGAGAAGAGTGAGAGTAAGGGAAAAGTTAGATATAGAAAATGTATTTGTATACATGTACAAGAAAAATACACCTGACACTTGCCTTCTTTTTTGTTCTCTTTTCAACTTTATCATACAACTCTAGCTTCATAAAGTCTTTCAGATGGTTTTTATTCCATCCTAGTTCCTTTCAGTTTACAGTCTATAGCAGGGGTATCAAACTGCCAGCCCGTGGGCCGAATGTGTCATGGCGAAACCGCGCCCACCCCATTGCTGGCATTGGAAAAAAAGTCACGAAATGTCGCGACACATCACATGGTGAGTTTGACACCCCTGGTCTATAACAATAGCAATAGCACTTGGACTTATGTACCGCTTCACAGTGCTTGACAGCCCTCTCTCTAAGCAGTTTACAGAGTCAGCCTATTGCCCCCAACAATCTGGGTTCTCATTTTATTGACCTCAAAAGGATGGAAGTCTGAGTCAACCTTGAGCCAGTGAGACTCGAACTGCCAAACTGCTGGCAGCTGGGAGTCAGCAGAAGTAGCCTGCAGTGCTGCATTCTAACTACTGCGCCACCTCGGCTCATAACTTTTATTTTTCCAGAAAATGTAATCCAACATTTTTTGCGGGGATGATGGAATATTTGATGGAATATTTGCTGAAGGGACCATAGTGAAATTTTGGTATCATCAATAGGTTAAGGATGGATCTTGTCTAATCAAGAAAAGCAATACTGGCCTAGATTGATCAATCATCAGGTTTGGTAATTGGATGTAGGGAAGCTTCTTACATAAATGATGAAAGAGTTAAAATCAGACAATATATATATCATTTCTCTCTCTCTCTCTCTCTCTCTCTCACACACACACACACACACACACACACACACACACACACAACCCACACCTTGGTTCCATTCCTTTGTTTCTCTAAAATCTTCACTTTTCATAAGTTTCACAAGTATCTCATCTTCCTAGATACACCCTAGTATTTATCATGCAATATTTTATCTTTTTCCCAGAAATATACTTTTCTAGTTATGCAGATCACTTTCCAACAGAAATAAATGTCTGTTTTACTCAAATTATAATTAGCTGAATGTTACTTTTGTCTTTGTTCACTCCTATATAGATTTCATTTTTTAAAAAATGTATGCACTGCCCAAACATGTATACAAAAATTCATATTGAAGTTGATATAAATGTAAACTTTCCTTTTTAAATGCATCCTTCTTACATCTCTTTTCAACCATTTTAGTATTTGAAAACAAAAATTGAGTTCAGAGAAACAATTACTGTATATTTCAAATCACACAACACCAGCCAGTACAGATTATGTCAATTCTCATCAAAATTCACAACGATAATTGCTCAAACATACAGGTAATCCTCAACTAACAAAAGTTCATTTAGTAACCGTTCAAAGTTACTGTACAACGACACTGAAAAGATTGACATGACCATTTTTCACACTTACAGCTGTTACAGCATCCCAATGATCATGTAATCAAAATTCAAACACTTGGCCACTGACTCATATTTATGATGGTTGCAGTGTCCCGGCATCATGTGATCACCTTTTGCAAACTTCTGACAAGCAAAGTCAATGGAGAAGCCAGATTCACTTAACAAACATGTTGCTAACAATTGCAGCAATTCACTTAACAACTGTGGCAAGATTGTAAAATGGGGCAAAATTCATTTAACAACTGTCCCATTTAGCAACAGAAATTTTGGGCTCAATTGTGGTTGTAAGTCAAGGACTACATGTACTTGTCTTCCTGCCTGTTCCTTGATCTGGAATAATAATAAGAGAAGTCCAAAACTGTTCACTTAAGCCAGATTCAGGACTTTGTCTTCCTCTACATTGGTTAAACTCTTGGGACTAAGAGCAGCATTATTTTTTCAAACAGAATTCCCCAGCCTAATTTTATGCTTGTCTAGAGTGATGACATTCCACAAATGGCAAGGCCCTACATTAAGAAGACTCCTAAAATCTTGAAGCAGCAATACCCCCAACCAATTATTATTCCCTCTTTTATTTCTGATTGTGGACAAACCGTTCACATCATATTCTGAATAACATTTCAAAATAATTTTATGAATGAATTTCTCAGCTTTCAGGGCCTAAATATGGCTGAATCCCAAAACATGTACGTACACCTTTATTACCTGCTTTCCACTCAAATTAGTGCTCAAGGCGACCTAATCTGTACACGCCCTATAGCTTCTCTCTCTTTTCCCCATCCATCTCCACTTCTGTCAATTTGATTTGCTTTAAAAATTCTAGGTAATTCTACTGTTTTTAGTGGCTCCTCAACTATTAAAGCTGGCATATTCCTGAAGCTCACAGTAATATAATACAGATATAATGTAGAATGAAAATTAAAACTCGAAGACAAATAAATTGAAATCAGTTTTTATTAATTGAGATTACATATATTCAATTAAAAATTTAAAACACAGAATGTCTATGGAATCTACTCTACAAAGCTCAGAATAGGTAGACCCATCCTTGCCTCAACTATTTACACATATTCCATATGCTAGAGGATTTCCCCTCCCCTCTTTTAATATTAAACTCAAAGAATCGACTGTTTTAAGAACGTAGATGTATATACTTTTCTATACAGGGGAAGGTCTCCTCTTACACAGAGAGCAGTAAAGCCCTCAGATATTTTCAAGCATGGAAAATCTTCAGGCAGCTGCCTTAAAAATGAAGGGGGAGGGGACACATCTTTATGTTATATTAAGGATGATTTGAAGAAGACAAGAGAACTTTCTCCTGAGTGCTACATTTTCTCCAAGAAAATTATGGGGGCTGTATGCTGGAGCATCAAGTTATTTTTTCTCTCTTTTAAAAATATAATGTTATTTAAAAAAAATTAAAACAGGGCTAAAAATTAATAGAAACTAAAATTAAGTAAGAAGGAAAAAGAAATGAAAGAAAAAAGAAAAGTAGTAGAAAAACAGAAAAGAAACCCAAAAGATATAAAGAAGTGATTTTCAATCTTTATGAGTTGTAACTACAATTGTAGATTTACTTTTCTTTAAAGTTACAGCATGATGTTTTACTTTCTGTAATCTAGTCTAGCTAATTATTAAAACCATAGATCATAAATTCATTTTTTGTTTGTTTTATGCTAAAGTCCATAAGGAGTTTCCAGTCACCAATAAACATAGATATTGCCCTCAAACAGGTCAATTTGGCCATCTTAGCAAATTCTTTCAGCTCCACCAACTATTCTTCCATGGTGGCATTACCAAATATTCCCATCAAATTCTTTTTTCTGAATTATTCTCAACGTGCCTCATCTCACTTTCTCTATCTGCCTTCTCCTTCTCCCATTTTTATCCTTACTCCCCCTCCCTTCTTTTCTCTTCTTGCCCAATAGCCTTGCCTCTTCTGCAGAACATTTAAATTTAAAAAAAAATATGAAAGAACATTTGTTTGTAAGAAATATCAGTGGAGCTTTTCTCTTTCAGGAGGGAAGAACCCAATCTTACGGAACTCAAATAAAAATGGACAAAAAACAAGGGATTTATAAAGCGATTGCTTGTTTTCAGAAGAAGAGCAATGGTTATGTTACCAGTATTTTTCATGTATGTCAGTGCTGCCTTATATGCATGGATCATAAAAACAACCACCCTTTTATACAGTACAGAAATTTGCTTATTCTGGTCAGCATTTCTGGCAATATACAGTATCCATGATTCTTCCACTGCTATATTCCACAAGGTAAGCGTTTGGATATGGATGCACCATCATTGAATCCCACGGTTTTCTGGGTCCAACCCCTGTCTAGGGCAGCTATCCTCATATTATCCAGACAAATGGCATTGACCCTTTGCCTTGAAAACCTGTAATGGTACATCACCTATGACTCCAGGAGGCAGGCTACTTAATAGCTCTTGCCACCAGGAAATTTCTCCATGTTCCATGTTTGACTATTTTTCTGTAAAGCTTTTACCCTGGGGTTCTCTGGAGTATAAATCCACACCATCTCCCTTATACATTGACTCTCAAGTATTAAAAGATGGCTCTCATTTCTCCCCATATTTTTTCTTCTTTAGTGAAATGTATCCATTTCCTGTAACTGTTTTTCCCCACAGGTTTTATCCTCCAAGCCCCCTTGTTGCTCCTCTCTGCATTTTCTTCATTTCATCAATAGCTTTCTTGTATTGTAGTGTCTGTATCTGAACACAGTATTTCAAGTGTGGGCTGTCCAGCACCTCAGAGAACACAAATATCCTTTCCTGTGTTCTCAGTACTATACTTATGCTGCGCTGCATTGGCTCTTTTGGCAGCTGCAACATGCTGCTGGCTCATGTTTAACCTGTGGTCTACCAGGATGATCAGATTCATCTTACCAAGCCAAGTACCACCAGTTTTGTACCTGTGCATCTGGTTTTTCTGAGTACAGAAATTATATTTCTCATAACTGAACTGCATACTGCTGAACATTCTTTCCCCATTCACAGAATGAAGCATACCCATACAAAGAAAACAGCAATGCTGTTTAAAGGTTAAACGTGGCTAATCAGTCATAACCACTCACCTACTGATTAAATTATGATTAATATAAGTTATGATTATTCTTATATTATTCTGAAAATTATCAAGAGTCCAATGGCTAATTAACTACTTAACTTTATCTATTTTTGGACATAAGCTGTCCAATGGCAGTTAGCAGAGCTACAAGAAGGAATAGTATTATGGGTCTACTATGCTGCTTTCTTTTGCTCCCTATATAAAGGAAACCTAACTCATCAAGTACCAGGTATTTGCCATTGTTTAATTACTGTGTTGTAATCCAAAATACCACAACCAAAGGACTTGACATAGATGATTCCTTTGGCTTGAGGGAGATAGTGTAAGAAAATAAGACAAGCCATTACAGTCTACCACCCTTTGAAACTTTCCTTTAATCTCAATTTTTTTTCCTGCCTGTATTTCAGATTGTTAGTTTGTTTGGAATGCAGTCCAATGACTAGTTTGTACTGACCCCTAAATAAAAGTTTGCCATCTTAGAGTAAAGTGCCTTTGGGTAATATGTTCAGCCTGTAATCCACACAATAACTTTCTCCAAATGAAACTGAAGAATTAGATTAGATTAGATTAGATTAGATAGATAGATAGATAGATAGATAGATAGATAGATAGATAGATAGACGATGATAGATAGATAGATAGATAGATAGATAGACAGATGATAGATAGACAAATGATAGATAGAGATAGAGATAGATAGATAGAGATAGATGATAGACAGATGATGATAGATAGAGATAGACGATGATAGATAGATAGATGATAGATAGACAAATGATATAGATAGATAGATAGATAGAGATAGATAGATAGATAGATAGATAGATAGATAGATAGATAAGAGAGATAAATCTACATGAATGACACAGAACAAAGGATGTATCTTTTGATTAGCTATTTAAAAACGATAAGTATATAGAAAATGCAGAAGGAAAATGATAATTGGTGGCAAATTGATATAAATAAAGGAAAAGCTATTATGTCCAAAGTCTTAAATTATCTGATTGTATAATGCCTTTTACACCTTTAAGATTTAGTCTTGCTTTCTTTTAGACAAGACAGTAAGAAAACACTCTTTCTTTGGCAAAAATCTCTGCCTGCATCAGTTCATATAAACAGAGTGACTACAATAGAAAGACAGCTGGAAATGACCAAAGGAGAAAAAAAAGACTGGTGTTATTTTTAGAAACTAAATAGGCTACAAGAATTGAAATGGCTCTCCCACCATTTTTGCTCTAGATTTTTAGATTCAAACAAATTCAGTATAGAATAAAGGAATCTAAAGTATCCTGTTACCCTCATAGTTAAACTGTCTTTTTCTTCCACTAGACAGTGCATGAATATATCCATATGTAATTAGTTTTTGAGTTTTGTTATAAATTACTGCTTAGCCTTTATCACATAGTGACACAGTTGGCTAAATTCAAGAAATTATGTCTTATAAAGCTTTGTAGCAGAACAAAAAAAAAAAACCCACACCCCCATCATCCTATTTTTTTGTAAGTGTTTGCCATTTCACTTCTCAAAACTTTGCCCTTTAAATTGAATAAAGGGAAGAGAAAAGGTATTCTGTTATAAAACACACAAAAAGTATTCGTAATAACTATTCCATTTGTTTTAGGACTACAGCTCTCAAACTTCTGAAGCCAGCACAGCCAGTGGAAAAGTAGTAATCCAAATACCTTGGAAGATTGCAGAAAATTACAAGAATTGAATGTCTCAGAGCAATATTTTATCTTACAGTTTACAAACCTATGTATACACACATATGTGCAATCCTTTGATATCCCAAATTAGATGATTGTAATACGTGGAAATATATGTGTATATACAATCAAAGAATTATCCTCTTAGTGGTTTAACAAGCACATCTATTTAATCTGTCTACTAAAAGCCGGCCATATTAAAACACTTACTTGTCTTTCTAGTAGTGCCAATTGTGTTCATCAAATACAAGTACTATTGATACACATTATTTTTAAAAGGTGACTAAAAGCCTTTAGCTGAACACCTTCATAACTGTTACTTACAGATCCATAGAGTTTGCCTTTGCCGTTCATTGCTACAAAAAGTCCACTTTTAACACCAAAAAGGCTAACCACTCCTCGTTCCACTGGAGAAATTTCCAGCAAACCTTTAAGAGAAGAAGAATGCATTAGAAAATACCAGGATATAAATATAGAATTACATGCAATCATAAACCATTTGAATAAAGAATAGCCTACTAATTCTATGACTTTTTAAAATATGTCAGTAGAACCATACCAGTAGGGTTACTCTTGTGGCATGCAACAGCTATTCAACAAGTTTAGGAATATTTATGTACAGTTTGTATTATGGCTTTGTAGATACCTATATTAGGAAGCAATTATCAAGCTATTAAGATTCAGAAAAGTTCTACTGAGCTTCAGGTTACTCTAGAACAGAAATGGGCAATCTCCAGCTTATGGGTTGGACCATCCAGCCCCAACAGCAGGTCCAGTCCAAAACCATTGCCAGTCTCACTAATTATTCTTTTTCACCAATCTTTTCAAAACTTCCCTGCAGAAGATGATGGATTCACTCAAGCTTAGAATAAATGGTTGAAGCACTGTAATCTTTGTTTCCCATCAGCTTACTCATAATGCTTGAGTTGTTGTGGCTGCTACTCAAGTTGCCATATTGCCATCTCACCATCTGGGAGGTCTTTTTTATTCCCCCAGATATTATATTATATGGAATATTGTTGGCACAATTTTCTCCTAGAACACTGTGTAAATTTGGGTATTGAATGATGTACAACTAACTTGCCGAAACTTGAGACTAAATGTCACTTGTGGTGGAATAAGCAAGGATATTGGTTCAGTTTTGGTGGAATTAACAGAATGGAGGTAATGACCACTTCTGAGTAACCAAACCATCCATTTTCTTTGTAATAGTCAACCATCTCCTGCCCTCTTGATTTGTGCGGCCCTTCTCACTGACTTGATTCTCAAACTGTACTAACAGGGACAAGCCCATTTTGGTAGGGAGTTGCAATGAGTGAGATAAAGATGTGCAGAACTGACTACTCATTTGGCTGGGATCCACATGTGACTATTTCCATGATATTGCAATATTGAGGGGAAGAATTTCCGGTTATTCTTTGATTACTAACTATGTTCCACATATTTTATGTTTATATACTATATGTGCTTCGCCACTTCACAACAATGAGAAACTCTGTGACGATTTTTGATATGTGTGCAAAGAAGCAATCTGAAGGCTGTAAAAACACAGTTATGCATTCTTGTCAGAATTGCCTAATCAGGTTTTATTAAGTGAACCACAACTGGCTGGTTCAAGCATGCTGACTTTAAACCATGATTTGCAAACCACCACTAAGTGGATTCACACATTGCATTGAAACAAAACATACCCTGCCTTAACACAGTGAATGAATTTAGCCTACTCCTACTTCCATAGAGAATTAACAGACCCACTGCAAATGTTAACACTGATTTCCCCACCCCAAAAAAATAGGAGTGATTTGCATTGACATAACCAAACTACTCTCCACAGACAACTTTCCATATGATAACACATCTCTATAAAATGGCTGTCATACAGACCAGCAGCTATCCCTGCTCAGGATATGCCCAACATATTGCTCTACAGTCTCTTGCCTCAATAAAGTTACAGAGCACATAGTCCTGGGGTTGATTGTTGCCATGAGAGCCCTCCCTTTGCCTTTGTCAACTAATTTTTATTAGGGTTTAATTATTCCTGCCTCCTTAATTTTTTTATAATTATATAACATATAACATTTTAATTTTTGTATAAACGAATGAATGGATGAATGGATGTCATCTAGTTTAACTCCTCAGCATGTTCATTAATGGCTCTTCCAGCCCAACTCAGCCAATGTACTGCCTGCTATAATTCCTTTTAGAAAGTGCTTAAAAGCAGCCTTCTCAATCTAGCAGTTCCCAGATATATGTGGAACTACAAATGCCTCTGCTGGCAGTGATAGTAACAAGGGATGCTGGAGTCTGACATAACTGCCTTGCAAATGCTTCAGGTCCTCCTTCTGCTGTGATTGAAGAGCTAGCAGAGATCCCCCACCTTGCCCAGCTTAAAATAAGTAACTGGCATGTTTTAGGACACATGAAACGTTTGTCATGGTGCAGTCTTTAACCCCTCCTCCCAGTCCTATTGTTTCAGTTGGGTGTTAGTTAGAATTAGAGCTATGGGGCCATGGGGTTAAGTCACGAACAGATGCTTTTAAACTATCCTGCTCCTTGGGATCTTGAATCCCAAATTAACTACTCATCAGCCTGTGGCAAAAGCAGGGTGGGGTTTAAGAATAGCTGCTTCCCATAACCGAAGCTAGGTTGTTAAGGAAAAATGTCTAATTTTATTTAGAAAGTTAAAAAAAAAAAAAGTCCTGCTTTAAATTGATTGAGCTCCAGGACAAGGTCAGGTTGGCCAAACTTCTGGGGCTCAAGTTTTAGTTACAGAGGCAGGGCTGACTCTGCTTCTGTTCTTGGGCTGAGCTGCACAAGGAGCAGCCAGTAAAGTCGAATCACCCCACATAAAACCGAGAAATCTCACTTTCAAAGATGATACCACACTCCTTGCACAGCAAGCGCAGTTGGCTACCATTCAACTGAGCCATAGCTCACTCTGCTGTAATAAATGGCTACTCTATTTATTCCAAGCCTCCGCCTTTCCCAGTTTTCCTTGGCCATCTCGAGGACCCCTCCAAAACACGGCTTCCCTTTGCTTTGATCGCAGCTCTTACGGATTCCCGAGAGACCGCGGGATAATCCCTTCACTCCTTCACACGTTGCGTTTCTCTTCAGACCCAACCCCATCCCTTCTGCGCAGGGAAATAGCGGGAAAACGCCACGCAGGATCCTCGTCTGACGCCCCGCCGACTTACCTGGCAGCTCCCCGCAAAGCCGGAGAAAACAAGCATCTGACAACCTATCTGGCCTTTTCGGGGTTTCTCCGCGTTGGGTCTACCTGGCCTTCCTGGGTTGGACCCTTTCGTTCCCCTGCCTCAGCCGAGGCTGCTTTCCTGCAGCTCTGCCTAATTGCTCTCTGCCTTCGGAGCTCGTTCGGCTTTGACCCTGGCTGCCGCTTGCCTGAAGCGGGGAAAGGGGAGAGGTTTGGCGCCTTGCCCTGAAAGGGTGCGCCGGGCTTTCCTCCTAGGCGAGCGCGTCTCAGCCAGGCGGACCGACGGGCTCGACCGTCCGCGCTCCGAGAGCCTCGCTCCGTCCACCGCGACCAGAAGGCAGCTTCCCGGGACCCCAGAAGCAACTCCCTCGCCCCTTTTCCCCGCCTTAGGATCCCGCGCAGCTCCGCGGCGCTCGCTCGCTCGCTCGCCACCCCTTCTGGGGCGTCTCAGCGGAGCGGACGCAGGTGGGCCAAGGCGACGGGGCGCCGCGACTTACTGTATCGATTTTCATCGTGGATCCCGTTGATCCGGCTGTCCGGCAGGACCTGGATGTGAAACCCGATGCCGACGTTGCAGTAGAGGCGCCGCAGCCTCTTGATGCCCAGCAGATAGTCCCCGTCCCGGCTGAGCAAATTCCTTTCCCCGGGGGGGAGCCTGGCCATGGAGCGCGAGAAGAGAGTCTCCCAGCGCCACTCCAGGGTCTCGTTGTACTGCTGGGCGAAGACGGGCATGCAGCGCCCCGCCAGCCAGGGCGATAGCAGTCCCAGGAGCAGGGCTGGCCAGCAGGCCGGACAGGGACCAGTCATCCTGAGAGAGAGCGCTGGCAGCACACGTGGTTCCAGGGGAGGCAAGCGGCTAAAAATACCCTTCTCCGGCGCAGCTTCTGCCCCGGACTTAGATCCCAAGAGCGGGGGTGGGGGTGGGCGCAGGGAAGACAAACAAATAAAGAAACAAACAAACACGAACACACAAATATGTGCATATATATATATATTATATTATATATATATATTATATTATATATATATAGATAATATATATATATATATATATAAATTATATATATATATATTATATTATGTATATAAAATATACATAATATATATATATAAATTTTATATATATCAAAATTTCGTAGGGAGGGGGGAAGTAACTCAGCACCCCGTGGAGCTGGAGAGCCCCGGTTTAGATCTCATGGAAGCGGAATCCGGTGCGCAAGCAAAGATCGAGTCCGCGGCAGCTTCTTCTGAACTTGATCTCCGCTTCCGTCAAATGGGGACCTGCTCTGCGCGCTCACTCTCCTGGCTCTTCTCCCCCGAAACCGCGACGTTTATATGTCCAGCGGGCCTTGATACCTATTACATCACCACCTATTGCTGCCTACAAGCGACTTGAACTGGACGCGAAATGATCACCCCGAGATGGTCCATCGCAACCAATTGGGTCTTAGAAGTCGCGGATGGGGGGGGAGGCGAGGAGAAAGGAGGAGGGAATATATGTCAACTTTAAAAAAAAAAAAAAATACACGAGTCTTCCGTTAAGGATAATCGAGAAACTTTCACCTTTCCTGCTCAGGACATGCGACTCGTAGTGGGTTTTTTTTTCCCCTTCGGTTTTGCAAGCGTGTGCAAATGCTTACCAGTTTAACATACGCACAAACGCACATATCAAAGAATGCCCAACACGCCTCTCCCGCTCCATCCTCCTCCTCCACCCCTCAACAATGTCTCACTTTGTGGAAAACAGAGGAATTTAAGCTTTTGGCTGTTTCCAAGTAACATGCTTTAGAGTTTGCATAGAAAGGAGGGGGGATCCTTCATGATAGGCCAAAATAGCTAATGCATGAGAGACTAAAGGCATTTTTTAAAAATGCAAAATAATAATAATAATAATAATAATAATAAAGTAAAAAAGCCAGGTCAAAAAATTTGGAAGGCAACATTTCCAAAGCGTTCTGCACAGACGAAATCAAAGTATATCTGAACAGGAGCTTGGAAAGATGGGGAAAGAGAGGAGAGAGGAGAATCCGCCTTTCAATTCAATGATACAAGCCCAAAAATGCACCGGGGAGTTGTTAAGAGTAGTAAGGAGTGCCGAATTCTCCAGCGATCCATTGGAATGGGATCTTAAAGATACTTTTGGTATCTGATAGTTTTAGGTTACCCCAGCGTTTCTAAGAGTATCAGACTGACAGCCCATGGAGAAGCTCTTCTCTGGTTACATATATGCTCCGTGGAGTCATTTTTCTGTCTATATGTATATATATAGAATATCTATACTATTCCTGCAGCAGGAGTCCAAGTCTCTTTTCTCTTCTCTTTGGGAGTTCTTCCTTTATGTGAACATGAAGAACATATACTTCACATATAGCTTGCAGCTCATTCTGCTCCTATGGAATTCATCTCCCTGATACGGAAAAATTTCCTTAAGGAACCAATTAATGGATCCTTCAGCATTTTTAATACTCATCCCTTGAAACAGGACAGAGGAAAACATGTTAATTAATTCAGTAGGTCTAACTTGAAAATAAAGCCCTGGGTTTTTTTTTTTAATAGCTTATACCCTCCCAAGACACCCCCCCCCGCCCCAATTAGCCCCAATGGAAAGAACAGAGGAAAAAGAATTCCAGGCCATCTTACAAAATCAATGTAATCCTCTCTGTATTAAACTACATCTCAGATCTCTTTTCTGTGATAGTGGGTTTGTTTTCCCAATATATTAAAGTTCACCCAGAGATAAGAGGCTGATGTAACTTGCACAAATTCTGTAAAATTTGTTCACTTCCTTTTGGCAGTAGACAAGGCTGGATCTTGTGTCAGGTTCAAGTTTTCACATTTGCAAAGGGACACCCAGATGGATCGTCTCCAGAAAAACCCTAAGCATTGGATGGGATTTTTCTCTCTAGCAAGGCTGAAATTAAGCATCAAGGTACCTAAATGTAAATTAGTTTATAAATGCAACTGCACTGTTCCAGAACAAACCTAACTTTATCTTAAAGTCCATGTGAATTCATTAGGCTTATTCCCAGCTCAGAATGTGATTATTGAGTTGTTCCCAGCAGTCTCGGAGCCAGTTAGAGCAATCATCATCACCACCACCAGCAGCAACTCTTGACCAACCTCTCTAAATCTCAAAAGAAGCTAACAGAATCAGACCTAGGGAGTTTAGCAAACATCCCAGAAGAAAAGCAACCAATTATTTCTGTGCCCTTGATAGAAAAACTACTGAGATGGATGTCCCTGCCCATGAAGTCACTGGGAGTTGATCTGCTTCCAAGTCTATATATTGATATATGCACTTATTGTCATTATTAAATAAAGATCAGGGGGTACACCTGCTCAAGAATGTCAAACAGTCCAGGATGGTCCCAAACGCCCCCCCCCCAAAGCACACAGTCTTTAAAAACCACCAGCAGGTTTCATCCCTTTCAGTGGAACCAGGTTCCCCGCTGCTCCAGCACTGAGACGAGAAAGAAAAAGGGAATTGCCCTGGGAGTCAGATGCCACCTCACCTAAGCGTGAAAATCTTTGACTTTTGTTAAAATCTCAGCACCCTGCTCATCGTCCCTCCTCCCCAATTTACTCTCATATTCACATCAGCTTTCCTTTTTTCTAAAGAGAGCTGAGCTGTATTAAGGGGTTATCTGATCCAGAATCTCGCTCCCAGTCAGACCTATGGGCTGCCAAACTGCCTCAGTTCTTGGAAGTAGCTATACAGCAGTGGTTCTCAACCTGTGGGTCGGGACCCCATTTGGGGTCGAACGACCATTTCACGGGGTTGCCAAACAACGCAGTCCACCATTTTTCCCCCCTTTTCCTTAACTGTGCTACTCCCTTTTATTCTATTGGCTTTTGAAAGCCAATAGAATAGACTCTCTTGAATAGAGTCTAATTCTATTGGCTTTCAAAAGCCAATAGGAATTGTCCAGGCTGTCTCTGCCCTGCTGAGCCCGCCAAAAGTCCCATTCTGCAAACGGTGCTGCACCAGTTGAGTAGTCCTCGACTTACGACCGGTTGAATAATCCTCGACTTACGACCGGTTGGGGGTCGCAGCATTAAAAAGGTTGAGAACCACTGCTATACAGTCATATGGCTGATGGTCACTGGGAATCTCATCCTTCAGGTACTTGTCTAATCCCCCTCTAAAACATCTTAACTGCTGCCATTATTACATTCCGAAGTAGCAAATTTTATCTTTTCACTATAGATGTTGTGGACAGGCTGCTTCATCTCTCTCCTGAATCCTTTGCTTGTTCCGCGTCATCAGATCTTTGTAGATTCTTGAGTTATGAAATACAGAGCAAGTATTGTTTTTACATGATTTCATGTACCGGCTATTGTGCCTCCGTTCACTTTTGTCCCCAGATAAGTGTTAGAAAATTCACTTAAAAGAACTACACAAGAACCAGAACTTAATGCTAAAAGAAAAAAGAAAGAAAGCCCTCATGCACAACAACCCAAGTGTATGGAATTGTTACCCCATCCGTGTTGAAACCCACCACCACCACCATTTTCAATTTTTTTTCTTGCATTTAGCATCATCTTTATCTTATGCTGTGATGATGGGCAGCAGTTTAGCTGTTTGGTTAAAAATACTGGAAAGGTTTGTAGGAGAATTGTTTGCCAATGATTATTAGCCACAAATTGCTAATAAGAGACAATCTATTCTTTTTCCCCCCAAAATTTATTATTAGCTCATCAAAATATAAAATACAGAAATACAAAGAAAAATGAAAATAATATTAAAATCAGGGAGGAAAAAGGGAAGAGAGAAGAGTGTAAGGTAGAGGAGAAAAACAAAGAAAAAAATATTGACTTCCCACTCCTTTGGGTGCAGGTAGAATAAGGTAATATCATGAAACCTCAACTTTTTACTTTTATATAATAATATAATATATAATAATAATAATATACTAGTCATTTCTATAACAAAAAAAACTATCTACTCAGCACATTCAAACCCCCAAAATTTTTTTCCATTGCAAGCACAAAGTCCAAAGGTCGTTTCCAAATAGAACCAAATTGTGTTCTTTTCTTTCATCAAAGCAGTCAATTTAGCCATCAACTCATCAACTTTTGCAGCCATTCAAGAGACAAAATATTATTACTGATCAAATTATTACTGGACACAAATAATTAATGATGATTCTTCTCATCTTTTCCTATAACAGAGAGGATACCAAGACTTCATGCTAGTTCTTCCTGAACAGACAGTACTAGACTGAAAGAAATTTGAGGGTTGATCCAACGATGCCCTTATCTACATGGCTATGGATCTAGATCTAGTACAGGTAGTCCTTGACTTATGACCACAAATGAGTCCAGAAATTTATTAAGTGAAGTTTGCCCCATTTTTCGACCTTTCTTGCCACTGTTGTTAAATGAATCACTGGAGTTGTTCAGTTAGTAACACAGTTGTTAAATGAATCTGGCTTCCCCATTGACTTTGCTTGTCAGAAGTTTGCAAAAGGTGATCACGTGACCACGGGACACTGCAACCCTTATAAATATTGCCAAGTATCTAAAAAGTTGCCAAGTATCTGCATGTTGATCACTTGACCATGGGGATGCTGCAATGGTTGTAATTGTAAAAAATGGTCATAAGTCACTTTTTTTCAGTACTGTTGTAACTTTGAATGGTCACTAAATAAACTGTTGTAAGTCAAGGAGTATCTGTAATGATGCTTTGTTTTCTTGGCTATGTTAAAATGAAGAACAAATATTTGATTATGCTTACGCATTTTAGAGCAAATTGTCTAGGTTATCTAGTTCCATATCTATCCCAGTTATCTATTACTGGAGTAGAA